TCTCTCTCTCTCTCTCTCTCTCTCTCTCTCTCTCTCTCCCTCCCTCCCTCCCTCTCTCTCTCTCTCGTGCGCGCGGCAATTCTTGCGGAAGATTCCTTCTCATTTTGCACCAGGCTGCTCAGTTGATGGACACAAGAAACTGTTGAATTGCAGACGTGAGTTTGAATCCAGGGGCGACCACAATAAAAAAGTTCTGATTTACAAAGGATCCGACGGCGTGCTGATGCCTTGGCCTATGCCCCCCCGAATACTGCACGCTGAAACAAACACCCTCAATGTCGCCCGGACCGGATAATGGCCGTGCCTGCGGCGGGTTGACTTGTTCCTTTCCGTGACCAAGTATAAATAGTACAAGTTGACCTGCCGCTGCTACGCTGCGGCGAGGGGCGATCACGAAAACATTTTGAGAATCACCCCAGCCAGCAGTTGGACCTCATCTGTGCAAAGTATCCCTACCGGACGCTGCCCAACTTTGCAAAATGCCCGGGCAGTGGCCAAATTTTTGTAGGTGCAATTGCCAAAGGCCAAGCGAATTTGCACACCGGCCAGACAGGGGCATAACACAAACATGTCACCCCGAAAGGCCATTCCACTCTGCCCATATCTTTTAGGGACATTTTGACATATATCTTGGGGGTATTTGGCAAATTACCCCCCCCCCCAACAACAAAAAGGAGACTCTCTCTCTCTCTCTCTCTCTCTCTCTCTCTCTCTCTCTCTCTCTCTCTCTCTCTCTCTCTCTCTCTCTCTACCCCTTGTGCGACCTTGTGACGCCCAACCTCACGCCCAGCGCGACTTCCTGATCAGAGTGGAGTGTGGGCCGGGAAGTGCGAAAAGGGGTGTGCCAAAGATTTTTGCGGAAAGTGGGGGAGTCTTAAGGGTATGAATGCAATTAGGCGAGTCAGGGGTGCGCGCGCAAAAGGCTCACGATCCGATGGGGCCGGGGCACTGTGGGCGACGAGTTACGGGGAAATCCCTCCGCGGTGGATGCGGTGGATGCGGTCCCGAAAAGTTAGGCCGTCGGGGACCGCCACGCGGCGCAGGTCGCCGCGTGCATGGGTTGGGCCTTCGAAATTCCGGAGTTCTCTGTTCGCCGCTGCGTCGGCAATTCACACAAAACGTGTTGGGCCAATAGGGGGCTATGGCCGGCCACGAAACGACACTGAGTTGATGATATGGGAGAAGAAGATGGAAAGTTGGGAAACTGGTGGTGATGACAACAAATCCCGGGTGGGTAAAATAGTAGGTGTGGTCAGGGGAGGGGAAATCAGAGCACCGAGGGTCGCTAGAGGTGGAGTAGTGAATTCCCTCGGACATAGTCGATTCTCCGTGTAACAGGGGTATCGCGTCCTTATGAGCTCGTTTATCATAGGGGTGAAATAGTCCGGGTCAAAGGATAAGTCTGAACTCCAAGATCGCGTCATGGTATCATCGTTGATGAAACAACTCGGTTGGGATATCGTCACCGCTCACAAGTACGTGCAGGGCAGGCAGCCTTAGTGGCGCCTCAGCGTGCTTGTACGGGGTGACGGTTCCGCTGCGAATCTTTTTGGGTGAGCGAATCGACGCTTGAGAATGCGTGTAAGGGCGCGACTCGGATCACGTTTACACGTGTTCTCGCGCGGCGATCGCGGGGCCAGACTTCGGAAGTTTCGATCATGCCAGATGCAACCATATCGCAACCCCCATCGTAAGAAAAGCAAGAACGAGAACAAAATCGATATCGGGGCCAGATTCCTATCCCATCTACAGCTGCATCAGGTGTGACAAAGATTCGACACAAACAAAAGGCAAGGACAGGGATTCTCAACAGTGATATGGATGCGCAAGCATAGCATGCATACATCCATACACTCGGCAATCATACACATCGCGCAATCGCGATGGACAAAAGCAAGGACAAGTGTGAGTAAAAACCCAAGTCTCGATTCCCGAAAGCCGAAAACGAAAATAAGAACGGGCAAACCGCAATCAAAATGTATGTACACAGATGAGGGAGGGGAAGAGACAAAGAAACAGCAAATCCGCGTCCATCGACCTCAACTCTCTCCTTCTCTCTCTCTCTCTCCGGTGCGGATAGTCCGTCGTCACACACCAACCCACGAAGTTGTCACCCCGCTTAGTCCTCCTGCACTTGTCGGCTTCGCCCGTGCCCACAGTCCGTCGTGGCCCACGTCAATCCCGCGCGTTCGGCACCGGCTCGTCGGATCGCCCAACTCCTACTCTACTCACCTCTTACTTCGCACGTGTGCCGACCCTTCCTGATCGCGGAACCCCGAGCTTCCAGCAATGGGTTAAGAGAGCTGACTAATTGCGCAACCGAAATTTATAGCGTGCATGCATGCGCGAGGAACACGGAATTACTAGGACTTAGAGTGAAGGTCAGAGAGGGAGCGCGTGCGTTCTACATGATCGGGCCGCGGCGTGGGGGACGTAACCCTTCTCCACGCATTGATCCAAGCATGCAAGCCGCGGCTTACAAAAAATCTCAGCAAAAGAAAGAGAGGGAGGGCGGGAGAGACGAAGTGCAAGAAGAAGATACAGTTACAATGGCGCCCGCCCAAAATTACAGTTACACCAACGATTAAAGGCACCGACTAATCAGAGTTCCGTTGCAGCCGCGCGAGAAAGCGCATAAACCAAAAAGCGCCGCGCGGCTGGAAAAATCCTAATTACTAAATTCCTAAATTCCTATCCAATACGAAAAAGCAAACGGCACAAATTCCAGAAGGAAAGTTCGAAATTCCGAGAGCCATCGGGGTTCGACAAAAATTCAAAAAAAAGGTTTCAAAAGAAAATTCAAAAAAAGAGCGCAGCAATTTTCCCGCGCGATGTTCGCACCCCAAAGATCGAGACCAAACTGAAAGAAACGACGTCAACTTTTATTAATCGCGCGCGCGGTGGCACGCCAGACATTCATCCGACCAAGCACTCAACCGGCCGTCCCAGGACACACCCAGCCCCAAAGAAGTGACGAAAAAGACGAAGAAGCAAGGGTACTGATGCAATTTTCCATCGATCTCGATTTTCCGAAAGTGGCCCAATCTTCCCAGCGTAGGACCCCTCGTTGCAACCGCGCAGAAAATCGCGCGTTACAGAAAGTGGTTCGTCACATATGTGACGCCCAGGGGGTTCCAATATTAGCAAGCTCCTGCTTGCTTGTTGACACGTGTCGATTTCTCTAATCGATCGACACGCGGAGCACTTCTCTTTATGCCACTTACCGTTCGATTGCGTGTGGACGTCATTTAGTGGCAACTCTGCTCTTCTACCAGTTCCTCAGATTGGGCTCTTTGACGATCCAAGGACGTGATCTTTCTCGTGTCGTCGCCGCGACACGCGTCCATTCCGGTTGCATCAGTAATTAACCGGGAGGGGGAAAGGGAGTCGGTACATGGCGGCATGGCAGGGTGGAGGGCTTATGGGTAGCGGGGGCAGGAACCTTTCCATCCCGACTACAGATTCTGGAAGCGCTTGGTAGCGAATGATGCGGTGGAAGCGGGGGAAGCGGTTGCCAGTGCGAGGGAGGGACGCGAGATAATCGGGATAGAAGGTGGTGAGAGTCCGAAAAAGTACCACGCGAAAACGATCGCGATCCTCGCAGGCGGGGATGGTCCCCGTTACTATGCAATAAACCTCGATCATATTGTGGCCTCGCCATGCGGCACTAAGGAGCAAAACATGGAGGCAGAAGGTTGGGACGGCGCATTGAATGGAGGGGTGGGGATGCACCACTATAGCGAGGCGAGCAGCGTAGAAGTGACGGAAGGTATCGCGGGGAAACGGGTTGGAAGGGAACGTGATGGGGGTGGTGAGCTGGCGGAGGGTGAGGTAGTCAAGAGGACGGCGAGAGAGTAATCGGGGACGAAGGTCGATCGCCCGTATCGGTACGTCGGCGAACTGGGGGACGGGTTGGGGAGGAAGGGTATCGGCTCCGTTGCCGCGTGGATGGGGTCGGAGTCGTGGCCGTGAGGTCACCATCTTCAGGTCTAGGCGGCTCCGGATCTCGGTTCGGGTCGTCGGGGGTCTGCAGACTCGTTGCGTTTGCGAGCTCTAACTCCTTCCCGACCGCGATTTCTTCTCTTTTGCGGGCCGTCTCGGGATCCTCTGCCTCTGTACCCATACACATCGCTTCTTCTGGCACGGCTTCCCACTCCGATCCAACAGGCTCTTTGTCGTGCTCCTCTTCTCCTTCCTCGTCCTCTTCTTCTTCTTCGCTCTGTTCCCCCTCGCTATGCTCGCTATAGCTTCCTTCTTCGGGGGTTTCGTCTTCTTCACCGAGCTCTTCGTTGCTATTCCCGCCTGCTTCCAGCCCGTCTTCGTCTTCGTCACTCCCGGTACTTTCTTCCTCCTCCTCTTCTTCTCGAATGACGGCACATTGTTCCGCCGTAGGATTCCTGAAGAAGGCCAGATCACGAATCGTCCGGGGATCCAAATATTGTTGCTGTGACGGCGGGATGCGCTCTGTGGCTCCCTCCAGACTAGCCGACCACTGGAGATATGGCGTCAACGTGCGAGAAAGTACGTGAGGAATCGGGTGCTCGTCATCCTGCGAGCTGATGTAGAGAGGGAGATCGTCCACCAGCTGCGCTACCGGGATCGTGAGCTCTTGTGCGATGACTTCCTGATATCCGGGCCGCACTGTACCGAACAGAAACGCGAGGAGTTCTCCCTCCACGTTGGTTCGCCAAGCCTGGATGAACAGCAACTCCAGGCGCTCTATGCAAGGCGGGCGTGCTTCGTCCTCGGTCCACGTCAGCCGTATCTCAACCAAGCACAGTGAAAGCTCGACGAAGTCTTCGCACCATAGTTCCCAATGTGGGGGATGAATGTCGGGGACCGCAAGGGTCGTTAGACAGCAGGAAAGACGAGGATGGATATCGGACTGCCAGAAGGTGGGGAGGGTGGAGGGGAGATAAAAAACGGAGATCGGAGCAAGACTCATTGGGGGTGAGGGAAGGGAATGACGACAGGGAGAACAGCCGGCGGATCACGCTGGTACATCCGAAGGCCGTCGTATTCGATCGCTCATGTCGGCGCGATCGTGTCCCCGCGGCGAGCCAGAAGCTGGGTCCACTCGGCGACTTGATCGTTTGCCCAAGCGCGCAGCGATGTCCTCACCGCCGAATGTCGTAAAGGGAGGAGCGTGGAGAGATCGCCACTGAAGTTGATGACGACCGATATGCGGTTGACATCCGGTATCGCTCGCTGATGAACTGCTACTGCCTCGGCCAGTACCACTGCGTTGGGCCGGCCTTCGATTCTGAACACCACCGCTGCATACATGCCTTTCGTGCTGAAAAAGTGTGCAAGCCGCCGAAGATCTGGACTGAGGCGGGGAAGATAGACTTGTCGGATCGTCAATCGATCGTGGGGTGCAAGCGATGCTTCGCTGAGGGCTCTTTCCTCCAGAAAACTCATGGCGATGGCGATGGCGATGGCGACGGGGAGGCAGAGAGGGAGCAAGAGGAAGAGGGGGACGGTGGAGAGTCAGAGCCGTCATCTTCGGCTTCCTCAGAAGGAGAGATCGAGGGAGAAGGAGACGGAGCAGAGGGGAGGAGGCGAAGATAGGACACGTGGCGTGTGATCGGGAGGGTCGATCGGCTGCCAGAGACTTCAGGGGCGAGACGCACAGTGTCCACGCCGTTGGGGCCGAGCTCGATCACGCGATATCGGCTGAAGAATCGTGGCGCTAGCTTACCCTGGAGAGCACATTTCCTCACCTGCACCACGTCCCCCAATTTGTACTGGGGCCGTGCACCCGCATTCCCATTTCGGGCCTCGTAGCTCCGGACCTGCCGGCCTTGGGCTAGTTCGGTCATTTTCTGTCTTTTTCGGGCTAGCCTGGGCAGTGACCGTTCCATTAGCTCTAGGTGCTGTTTGACCTTGTCCTTAGTCGTGGCCCTGGTGGGCCGTCGGTTCAGTATAGACTCGTCGGGGAGGCTTGGTATTGAAACGCAAGCGACGTTATTGGTCCTTAATTGGAAGGGGCTTAGCCCCGTCGATTCCTGAGGCGTTCCGCAATGGACCGCCAGGATGTGATCAACGATGTCGGGCTAGGGCCTCGGATCCCGTGCCGCGATATTTCGTCGTAATGCGGTCTTTATCACCCGGTTGGCGTTTTCGACCAGCCCATTGAATTGTGACATATGGGGTGCGGTGTTCCGTATGGCGACGCCATGCATGACCAGGTTCTTTAACACTTCTCCCCTGAATTCCGCTCTGTTATCGGTCAGGATCTCTTCTGTATCTTGATGCATCCCAAGGAAACGGTTGACATATCGCGCGATTTCCGTGGCTTGCCGCGTGCGACACGGATACGCTTCGATCCATATTGAGAAATGGTCGACAAATACCAATAGGACTGAATATTCGCAGCTATTAGGGCCAGGGGGCACCACTATGTCGGTAGTGTCCATGCTCACTCCTTGAAATGGTCGTTCAACAACTATGGGCACTATCAATCTTGGTGGCTGAATCGGCGCCTTGTCAGCGGCGCAGACTTGACAGTTGGCGACAATGTATTTCACATCGTCGAGGATATTGGACCAATACCACTCATTTTTGTCGATAGCGGACTCCGTGATTCGTACGGCAAAATGGGCCGCAGTTTCCTCGTGGGGTATCTTAAACCAGTCATACTGCATGAACGGATGCGGCACTACCATCCAGATCCCACTGTCATCCATTTTTCTAATTTACCCTCTATCCATCGATAATCCCGCGCCCTTTCGTTGGCCCTCCTCCGGTCTTCCTTGGTGAAATCCTGGGGGGGGTTACCTACTAGGGTGGCAATTAAGGCAATATCCGTCCATACTTTGGCCCTTCTAAACTTTCGGGTTTTTTCCAATCCTTCTGACGTGGCATCCAAAAAACGAGCCTCGGTCAAAATTTTGTCGGTCCGGCACAAAGGGCACAACCATGGCTTACTATCGTTTCTGTATTGGATGCACGGGCCATGGGCTCGGGCAACACACTGTCGGCAATCTATCCAATCCGCATATCCTTCCCCGTTAGGACGCATGGAGACCTCGTATACGCGGGAGATAGCTTCGCAAAAGTAGCAAAATTTGTCAGGCAGGGAGAGGAGAGACGAGGAGGAAGGGGGAGAGAGAGGGGTAGTGGGGTTACCTCCATCACCCATTGTCACCGCTTTTACTTCTTGCCACGTGGAAGAACCGCCACCTGTCTGTACTTAGGCTCGTTGGTCAAATCCGGCTCCTTCCACGGTGTAATTTCCTTGCCCTTTGGTACCTTGGCAGGTCGCTGTAGACGTGTCACCCCGTCCGCGTTGCCGTGTCGCTCTGTCTTTCGATGGATGATATCGAAGTCGTATTCTTGCAGTCGCACCGCCCAACGGCCAATCATGCCCGTGTAGTTGGTGAGCTTCTTCAACGCCAGCAGAGGCTCGTGATCTGTTACGAGGTGAAATTTCTGTCCGTAGAGATACGGATGGAAGTGTTGGATTCCCCAAACTACCGCATAGCACTCGCCTTGAGGTGCGGAGTCGTTCCTTCGTTCGTCCGGTACGGTTCGAGACGCGTACTCGATGATGTGTTCGCGACCATCGTTTCCCTTTTGTGCTAGAATAGCGGAAATAGCTTCCGGTTGCCAGTCCGTGATGAGAATGAACTGCTTCGAGGGGTCCAGCCGAATCAGAATAGGGGTCGTTGCCAGAGCGTCCTTGAGGGTTGCAAAGGCCTGTTGGTACTTCGCGTCCCACCTGAGAGGCTGATCCTTCCGTAACAGATTCGTTAGTGGTCGTGCAATCGCGGCAAAGCCCTTGATGAAGCGTCAATAGTACGACGGCAGCCCCAAGAAGGCTCGAACCTGCGTTAGCGACGTGGGAACCGGGGCTTCCCTTACCGCCGCAACTTTTCTAGAGTCTGGCCTCAATCCTCCACGTGTCACGACATAGCCCAGGAACGAAATTTTTGAAAGGAAAAATTCGCTCTTCTCAAGCGCAATCTTGAACCCAGCGTCTCTCAATGCACCTAATGTACATTCGATGTGTTGCGCGTGCCCGTGATAGGTCTCCGAATAGACCAGGATGTCGTCCATGTACACGATTACGCAGAACTTAATCATTCCCTGCGTCAGCCGTGTCTTGTTGACGAAGTTCTGGAACGTCATGTTCATCGCTCTCTGAAATGTGGCAGGCGCATTGCAAATCCCCATTGGACACCGAACCCATTGCCACGTGCCTTCAAACAACACAAAGGCCGTTTTCGGTCGATCTTATTCCCTTACCAGAATATGATGGAAGCCATGCCGAATATTAATCCGGGGGAGGGGATACACATCTTTGATCGTGATTTCATTCAGCTTGCGATAATCAATGCAAATACGAATCGCCCCGTTTTTCTTCGGCACTAATACTTCGGGAAAGGACCAAGATCCGGTAGCAGGTTCAATCCAACCACTGGCTTCGAACTCCCGAATTCGTTCGAGAGCCTTTTTTCGTTCAATCAAGGAATAGCGATAAGGTTTGCAATGAATCGGGGAGTGATTTTTTGTTTGAATTTCATGTTGGATTACTAACGACAACCCAATGTCAGTGTCTGACACACTAATCCTCCTTGATATTCCGTTAGAATATCCGCAATTACCCGGTGGATTTCATCCGGCACATATTGTGGAACGTGTAGTTCAAAAAGTTTGTCCCAGATCCGAACGTCAATCTGTTTCGTGTTCGCCTATTTTGTCAAGTCGGGGGGAGGCGCCGAGATGAATGAATGATCCGATCGCCAGGAGAACATTGTGGCCATCATCTGAGCATCTTCTTCTCGGATCGCCACGTGTCCTTCCGAGGTGATCCCGTCGCAAACATCTTGCCATGGCACTTCCTTAGTTGCAATCTTTATCCCCAGTCCGTCTGTTTCCGCTTCAAAACGCCCAGGGGGTTCCAGAGAGCTTGCTTTCACCCCCAAGCGTAACAGTCTCACTTCTTTAGCCGATGTTAGTAAGAACTTAGGTAGTTCTGTAATGTCGCAATAATGCTTCTTGTCGCTGTACCTGGCGAGGAGAGGGGTGATCCCTTCGCACAGAGTTTGAGGGGGTTCCAAAGAGTCGACCATCCTCGAAATGTGCACGAGGGGCTCTCCCAAGATCATCGCCTTGGTCCTTTGAATTTTTCGGCTGGTCAGTTGCATCGTTCTCGCTATCGTTTTGGGCGGCGGATAGTAAACATGTTGTCGTACCAATTTCAAGATCTCCGGATCATCTTCGTCACTGCTTTCCGCATCATCAGTTGATGGCTTCCCTTCAGCGGGTTCGTCCCAGGAGATCATGCGGAGAGTCCCTGCCATCATCGGCGAAGGGTCGATCGCATAGGCACAACGTAGGGTTTTCCTCCTGTATTTCGGAGGACGATCGATCGTCGTTCAAAATCCAGGTTTGCTCGTAACGCCACAAGAGCGGGAAGTCCGAAAAGAACGTCGTACGTATTAACATCTAGTACTACGACATCCCCAAGCGCGTGTACTTTCCCTAGTCAGAAGGCGACATTGGTCATTCTCCCCACCGTTTTAATATTTTCCTCATCCGCCGAAACGAGCTGATATTTATCGGTAAGCATGATCAGATCATTTTTCCTGACTGCCCTTTCGACCACTCTCAGTGAAATAGCCAACACAGCTACTCCTGAGTCTATAATGGCGTTGTAGGGAATTCCCCAAATTTCTATATCGCACTCTGCGGATTTCCACGGAATGGGTGTAATTCGTAGGAAATGATCGTCTTTCTGAATTAATCCTACCCGTATCGGATCCGGAGTGCTTGTTGGGCTTTCTTCCGGCGCGGGGCCTTTGGCTTTTCTGTTCGGCGCTTGGGCGAGAGCGAATCACTTTCGATTCGCTTTACAATGTTGTAGCATTCGCTCGTTGGCTTGCTCGGAGATCGAGAGTAGATGACCGATCGGAAGGGGAATCCGATGGTCCAAGGCTCGGATGATGTTTAATGCATCGATCTCGCCTATGACGAAGGTGGGTCCTCCCGACTCCATTTCTCCTAGGGACGGTCACCACTCCACCACCTCTTTCGGTTCTAGCGCTGGCCTGATGGTTCCGATCATCCTTAGCCCAGGATATCCCAGCGACACATACTGATCTAGCGGGATTAGTTCGGCGGTCTCTTCCGAGGTAGCCAAGGCGCTTCCCCTATCCTCTACTTCTTTCATCAAGGCTCCGACTCGTCCAGGTCCGTTGGCAATGGGGGCCGCAGCCATCGGTGCGACTCCGATCCGCTGTTGTGGGGGTCGGTGGGTGCAATCGCGGGCTAGATGTCCGGGCTGATGACAGGCGTATAAAAACATTCAGATTGTTCGTAACTCCTCCGAGAGCAGGGGCAGGGGCTAATCCTTGTTGCATCGGAGGGGCATGCACCGCAATGGGTCGCATGTTCCTCATCATGGCTTCCAGCCGGGCATTGTGCTCTCGCTGCTCCTTTTTGCTTTCTTGGATCAAACTAATCAAAGTTTTGGTTAGTTCGAAAATGACCGCCGATTCGTTTTATCGAACAGGAGCCTCAACCGGCGGCGGGGGTAATGCCCTGACGGGCGGGCATCATTGGAGCAGAGATGCTCGGGGTCTCGCTTAGGATTACTCGTTTGGGGTCTATCTGTTCCATATAGGTGACAGGTCCTGATACAAACCCCATGTTTTCAAATTTGTTCTGTAAAGCAGCCAGCTCTGCTCTCGCTCGAGCGAGCTCGGTCGAATCTCCGTCTCTAGGGTAATCTTCTCCTTCCAGGAAGTTCGCCGCGAACTTCCGTTCCATTTCTTCCGCAGCAGCCATAATTTGTTGTAGCGTATGAGTGATGGGGGAAAATTGCTTTTGCAACTTAGCCCTTATTGTTCGACTGCGGAGTTCGTCAATGAACAGATCTCTCCCTACTTGCTCACCTTGCTCAGTTCTTACGAACATTCTGTAGAACCGGTTTCGATATTCCGCAACGGATTCGAGCGGTTTTTGCACTCGGTCCTTGATCATGTATAGCGCTTGCTCAGGGTGGACATAATCAAATCGGTTCATGAAATCTCGTTCGAAGTTCGGGAGATCCACCCATACATAGGTACTATACCATTGATGAGCGTCTCCTCCCATTCGAGCTGGAATGTTGATCTGTGCTTCGTGATCATCGTACTGCTGTGCTCTAAGCGTGGCCAGCCATGCTCCTGCGAGATGGTGGGCCGGATCAAATAGATAGAGATCTAGTGGCGACATGGGAGCTCGTGCACATGGGGCAGGTTGATTAGGTGGATTAGCATTTTGTTGCGGAACCGGATTTTGCACATTGGCAGCCATATTGGCTGCTCGTCGGTTAGCCGATCTGCTTCTGGTGATGATAGGGTCACGTTTGTGCACGTTCCGAGGGCGAGGTCGCCCACAGTTAGCCAGGTCGCCTGATTAACGTGCTATCAATCCTAAGACCCTAGCCACGTGTCGGGCTCCGATACCAACCTCACGCCCAGCGCGACTTCCTGATCGGAGTGGAGTGTGGGCCGGGAAGTGCAAAAAGGGGTGTGCCAATGATTTTTGGGGAAAGTGGGGGAATCTTAAGGGTATGAATGCAATTAGGTGAGTCAGGGGTGCGCGCGCAAAAGGCTCACGGTCCGATGGGGCCGGGGCACTATGGGCGACGAGTTACGGGGAAATCCCTCCGCGGTGGATACGGTGGATGCGGTCTCGAAAAGTTAGGCCGCCAGGGACCGCCACGCGGCGCAGGTTGCCGCGTGCCTGGGTTGGGCCTTCGGAATTCCGGAGTTCTCTGTTCGCCGCTGCGTCGGCAATTCACACAAAACGTGTTTGGCCAATAGTGGGCTATGGCCGGCCACGAAACGACACTGAGTTGATGATACGGGAGAGGAAGACGGAAAGGAGGGAAACTGGTGGTGATGACAACAAATCCCGGGTGTGTAAAATAGTAGGTGTGGTCGGGGGAGGGGAAATCAGAGCACCGAGGGTCGCTAGAGGTGGCGCAGTGGAATTCCCTCGGACATAGTCGATTCTCCGTGTAACAGGGGTATCGCGTCCTTATGAGCTCGTTTATCAGAGGGGTGAAATAGTCCGGGTCATAGGATGAGTCTGAACTCCAAGATCGCGTCATGGTATCATCGTTGATGGAACAACTCGGTTGGGATATCGTCACCGCGCACAAGTACGTGCATGGCAGGCAGCCTTAGTGGCGCCTCAGCGTGCTTGTACGGGGTGACGGTTCCGCTGTGAATTTTTTTGGGTGAGCGAATCGACGCACGGGAATGCGTATAAGGGCGCGACTCGGATCGCGTTTACACGTGTTCTCGCGCGGCGATCACGGGGCCAGACTTCGGAAGTTTCGATCATGCCAGATGCAACCATATCGCAACCCCCATCGTAAGAAAAGCAAAAACGAGAACAAAATCGCTATCGGGGCCAGATTCCTATCCCATCTACAGTTGCATCAGGTGTGGCAAAGATTCGACACAGACAAAAGGCAAGGACAGGGATTCTCAGCAGTGATATGGATGCGCAAGCATAGCATCCATACATCCATACACTCGGCAATCATACACATCGCGCAATCGAGATGGACAAAAGCAAGGACAAGTGTGAGTAAAAACTCAAGTCTCCATTCCCGAAAGCCGAAAACAAAAATAAGAACGGGCAAACCGCCTGGGGCCGCAATCAAAATGTATGTACACAGATGAGGAGGGGGAAGAGACAAAGAAACAGCAAATCCGCATCCATCGACCTCAACTCTCTCCTTCTCTCTCTCTCTCCGATGCGGACAGTCCGTCGTCATGCACCAACTCACGAAGTTGTCACCCCGCTTAGTCCTCCCGCACCCGTCGGATTCGCCCGTGCCCACAGTCCGTCGTGGCCCACATCAATCCCGCGCGTTCGGCACCAGCTCGTCGGATCGCCGAACTCCTACTTTACTCACCTCTTACTTCGCCCGTGTGCCGACCCTTCCTGATCGCGCAACCCCGAGCTTCCAACAATGGGTTAAGAGAGCTGACTAATCGCGCAGCCGAAATTTATAGCGTGCATGCATGCGCGAGGAACACGGAATTACCAGGACTTAGAGTGAAGATCAGAGAGGGAGCGTCTGCGTTCTGCATGATCGGGCCGCGGCGTGGGGGACGTAACCCTTCTCCTCGCATCGATCCAAGCATGCAAGCCGCGGCTTACAAAAAATCTCAGCAAAAGAAAGAGAGGGAGGGCGGGAGAGACGAAGTGCAAGAAGAAGATACAGTTACAATGGCGCTCGCCCAAAATTACAGTTACACCAACGATTAAAGGCGCCGACTAATCAGAGTTTCGTTGCAGCCGCGCGAGAAAGCGCATGAACCAAAAAGCGCCGCGCGGCTGGAAAAATCCTAATTACTAAATTCCTAAATTCCTATCTAATACGAAAAAGCAAAAGCCACAAATTCCAGAAGGAAAGTCCGAAATTCCGAGAGTCATCGGGGCTCGACAAAAATTAAAAAAAAAGGTTTCAAAAGAAAATTCAAAAAAAGAGCGCAGCAATTTTCCCGCGCGATGTCCGTGCCCAAAAGATCGAGACCAAACCGAAAGAAACGACGTCAACTTTTATTAATCGCGCGGGCGGTGGCACGCCAGACATCCATCCGACCAAGCACTCAACCGACCGTCCCAGGATACACCCAGCCCCGAAGAAGTGACGAAAAAGACGAAGAAGCAAAGGTACTTATGCAATTTTCCACCGATCCCAATATCCCGAAAGTGGCCCAATCTTCCCAGCTTAGGACCCCTCATTGCAACCTCGCAGAAAATCGCGCGTTACAGAAAGTGGTTCGTCACAACCTTGCAATCTCCTTGTCCTTCCTTGTGGCCCCGTCCTCTCACTCGCACAAACTCCTCCCCCTAGCATGACCTCCTCCTCCCACCGGTACGACCTCCTCCTCCCCTTAGCATGACCTCCTCCTCCTCCCCCTCCCGCACGACCTTCTGCAACGTCACGTCCCCTTTGTGCGACATGTTCATGCCCCTCCTACAACTTCCTCTTCCCGCTTGCACGGCCCACTCCCTGTCTCTTATACACATCTAGATGTGTATAAGAGACAGCGTCACAACCTTGCAATCTCCTTGTCCTTCCTTGTGGCCCCGTCCTCTCACTCGCACAAACTCCTCCCCCTAGCATGACCTCCTCCTCCCACCGGTACGACCTCCTCCTCCCCTTAGCATGACCTCCTCCTCCTCCCCCTCCCGCACGACCTTCTGCAACGTCACGTCCCCTTTGTGCGACATGTTCATGCCCCTCCTACAACTTCCTCTTCCCGCTTGCACGGCCCACTCCTCCCCCTCCTCGGACCTCCTTCCCCTCGTGCGACCTCCTCCTCCCCCTCACATCAGCCAAGGCATCAGCACGCCATCAGATGCTCTGTAAATTAGAACTATTTTATTATGGTTGCCGCTGTATTCAAACTCTCGTCTGCAATTCAACAATTTCATGTGTGCATCAACTGAGCAACCTGCCACTGTGCGAAATGAGAAGGAAACTTCCCCAAGAATATACGAAGATACACTGCAGCGGACAAATATACTGAAAAGAAATACCGGTGTGTATGTACTAAGAGGCTGTAAGATGAAAATGTCGCAGGCGCGCGAGCGAGCGAGATAGATAGGAGAGAGAGAGAGAGAGAGAGTTTTTCATCCATAGGATGAGCAAACTGGGAATGAATCCGTTGCTCAAACATGGAAATATACACTGCCACATTTTCGGTCTTTGGCGGTGTATATTTCCATGTTGTGGCAGTGGATAATTCCATGTTCTACGGGAAGATTTAATCGCATTTTGTTTATTTGGTGAAGCATGGCAAGGTCGGCCTGTGTGTGTGTGTGGAGGATGAGCGAAATCAGAATGAATCTTCAGCCATAACATTGAAATATACACTGCCACACTTTATTTATTTATTTATTTTTGTGTGTGTGTGTGAGAGAGAGAAAGAGAGAGAGAGAGAACAAGTAAGTCTCCAACCTCGCGGCTCGTCTCATGGTACTTTCATCAATAGGATGAGCAAAATGGAATGCATCTACGGCTAGAACATGGAAATATACACTGCCACACTTGTGTGTGTATGTG